AATTCCTGATGAATGAAATCTATGTAGTGGTGTTGATCACGATAAAATTCAGATACAACTACGACCACTACGCCAACAAACAAACACAGAGTGTACGTTGAGATAGATATCAGTTCGCTGTGTACTTCTATCGTGGTGCAATTTATCTTATCTATTTGGGAGAGTGGAAAGGGAAGACCGGTACTCAGTGATGAGGGAGATGTGTGGTGGAAGGTGTTTTCCAAAAATAAAACAAAATAGAAATCGTGAAATGTGAGTGTGTATGTGTGTTGAAGATGATGACGATGATCCTCAGTTATAAAATGTGTGTTATCGTGTGAATTTACATATAATTATTTACACGACAGCTTAATTAGTGTATAATAACAATAGTTTATAATGCAATTATATATTCTTAGGAAATATGAACAAATTATTTTGTTGTTAACCGTAGGATACAATATTAAGGAACCAACTATGTTTGCACTAATTCTCTTACCATGGTAACATCTAGAATTTGTTTTATTTTTTTGATAATTTATAAATTCTTCCAGAATATGAATTATGCAGGAAAATAAACAATGATAACATACTTTCATATAAGAATTCATGGGGGGTATTATATGGCAAGATTATTGAGCAAGTGCATATGACATGTGATGAGAGCGAAATATAAGGTCAGTAAGTTTAAAGTAAAAAGCAAAGGTATAGGATAAAAAAATGATCAATATTATTTTCAAGAAGGTTTTCCAAATAAAAACCAGCAAGGAAAGTAGTACCAGTAGTCGGAACGGGCCGACTATATGATACCCTTCACCACTATGGGAGCTATATCTAAATCTGAATCGATTTCAGTCTTAAATTAATTCCGTAGGTTATGCCAAATTTAGTGCAAATCGAAAGATATATAGGGACTTTGATGCACCTTTTACATTAAATCGGACGAAAATACATATGGGAACTATATCTAAATTTGAACCGATTTTTATGAAACTTGACACACGTCATTCTAGATATAATTTAATACGCTGTGCGAAATTTCGTGCAAATCGAAAGATATATAGGGACTTTGGTGCACCATTTACATTAAATCGGACGAAAATATATATGGGAGCTATATCTAAATCTGAACCGATTTTCACGAAACTTTGCACATTATTCTAGACTTAATTCAGTACGCTATGCTAAAAATCGTGCAAATCGAATGATTTTCAGGGACTTTGGTGCACCATTTATCTAAAATCGGGCGAAACTATATATGGGAGCTCTATCTAACCGTGAACCGATTTTCATGAAGCTTTGCACACATCATTCTAGACTTAATTAAGTAGGGTATATGTAAGTCCGTATGTCTGGCCGGTTTGTACACACGCTAACTATCGAAGGGAGTTCCGATTTCATTCAAAATTTGCCCATCATAATATTTATTAAAAATGTATTATATCATACGAACAGCCTATCCGATTTGAACTAAACTCTGGACGACCTAATATGTTAACTATGCCTGCATACTGTTGGAAGTTGGGGCTTATCGGTTCACTTCTTCTAGTACCTCTCTCTCATTTTGATAACTTGTAAATCTCATATCTAGCATACGGAATACCCATATTTCATCGAAACTTTGCACATCGTAATATGACTTTGCATAGATCAAGTTGGTTGGTCCACTCCCTCAGGTACCTCTTCCACAAAGTGTCAACATTTTGAAAATTTGTTAATCCAATATCAAGCGATTTGAACTAAACATTGCAAATTGTAATATGTTTACCAAACCTGGATTAAATACGAAGAGGAAACTTATCGTTCCACTCCTTCGGGTACCTCCACCACAAAGGATTACGTTTTACATATATCAATGACCAAATTATACATCCTTTACCACCCGTATTTTCAAAACGTTTATGAAAATTTATGAAATATCATTAGGCATTGAATTATCTAAAATGTTGTCTATCGTTGCATTTACTTCTTTTAATACCGGTATTGCAGACACAAAGGTGATTCCCATTTTACTTACTATGTCAATATTGCTGCGAGTGATTCCCCGTTACAAAGACCAGTTTACATGCGTTAGACTAAAGATCTTTGATGGTAGCCTAGGTTGGGGTTCAACAGGTGCAGATCTGCAAGGAAAAAAATTGTGAATAGATATTATTAGAAAAATGAAAAGACTAAACTGTTTTGGCTTCCAATTTGGAAAGGAAATATTTTGTACAAAAATCGTTTCCGGAATTTAGATGTTGGAAAGATATATGGGGGAGACTGAGGCACATCCGAAACTTTTTGTTTAGAGTCTATATCTCAGTACATATTCAAGAGATATACAATTTGCATGGCTGTTTATTGTCCTCTGAACTTCATTTTAAAAATTCGCACTAAAAAATTGTCAAAAAAATCAAATTCGCCGAATGTGCCGCTATCCGGGGTAGCTTCGGCATTTGATGGGTATCTTCGGCACCCATACGCATAGCCTGGTAATTATCATTGCTATCAATCTAGTTGGCATTCAGATCCTCTAAAGGTTCTATTTTGTTTTAATATGCGACTTAATGTTTGACTTTTTAGGTTATATTTTCTAGCGGCGGACGTTGACGCCAACACACTACCAGAAATAGATTTTTTCTATCGCAATTTCGTTAACAGAATCACGTTTGGTCTTATATATGTAATTTCGAACCATATAGAGATTGTTTTTAGAGGCAAACCCAAAATGATTAAAAAAGTAATATAGCACTTTCTGTATATGGCCGAATGTACCCCTCTTTAAAATGCGGAATCTACCCCAAATGTACTCTATATAGTTTTTTTTATGTTTTTCTACGATGTTATAAAAACATAGTAGTTTTAATTATTTTTATAAGACATTGTAATTAACGACATTTCATTTGGTTGATATTGAATTAAAACTTTTTTAAAATATTTACACTGTGGGAACCGACGAGTCCCATCTTCGAACTTGACTTCTTAAAAATATTATGATATGGTAAGTTTGAATGAAATTTTGATTTTCTGTTCGCTTCATATTCGATTTAAAAATTTTCAACATAATGGCCTTTTGTGGGGGAGGTACTAGAGAGAGTTCCGCGAGGGGTTCCATTTTCGGACCTAATTTAGAATCGATAAAAATATTTTTAAATGTAGACTTTGGATTAAATCGAACATTCAATTCGCTAAATATTGCGATATGCAATATTGCGATATGCAAAGTTTGGATTAAATTCTTAAAATATTGACCATTTGTGGAGGAGGTACTGGAAGGAGTGGACCGATAATTCCCACCTTCCAATATTATACAGGTTTGGTTAAAATATTAGGCTGTACAGAGTATGTTTCAAGTTGGAAAATCCTTTCGGATGATATAATAAAATAAATTTTAGTAAAATGTTGGCCTTTTTGTACTACACGGAGTGGATCGATATTATCCATCTTCTATCTTGGTTTAAGTTTTGGAAGAAATATTACAAGAGTTATATTACGTGCGCATCAGCCAGCCAAAGAGGCGGACAGGACCGATATTTATAAATCGATGAACCCTTTATTTGGTCCTGATCTAGGCTTACGATGTGCAAAACTTGTATGAAATTGATTACTCCTTTCGAGATTTATCGTGCACACCAGTCAGATAGATATACAGCACCAGTCAGGTATATATATACAGACGGGTGGACATTTGTAAATCGACTTTATGTGAAAATGTTTCGATAACATAGGGTCTAAATAAATATTTCGATGAGTCACATTTTTTCGGTAGCAAAGTATATATAACCTCATTAGACAAGGTCTTTAAACATCTACATCTTTAGCGCACGAAGGAATATTTTTTTTCTATAGAAACAATTCTGTAGAAAAATCCTTTCTAGGGAAACTAAATAACTTTTTTACTAATAACACTGACACCTCGTATATTATCACCGATCTGGGCCTAGGCCCAATATTGTTTTTTTCATAGGGGTCAAAAAATCGGCAGATACCCGTATAAGTGAGTATGGGCATTAACATGGTGCTTAAGGCAAACATATTTGTTGGAATCATAAATTCAATCAATATAAAAAAATTATGTAGAGAGAAAATAATCTATTTGTTTTTAAATTTTTGATTCACAAAGGATTTTCTATATATTTCTATATCCTAGAAAAAAAATAAAAATATTTTTAAAAAGGCCCCACAAAAAGTAACGCCTTAATACAATATATAATGCATTTTCAGTGTAAGCGCAGTCATCCATTTAAATTGTATCTGTAAAAACAAAAAAACACAAGTTGGTGTCAGCATCTCTGTGTTTCCTTGGACTCCCTAACGACCATCTGTCACTGTAGTAGTGGTGTGTGTGTGCAATTTAATTTGTTATTATATCGGTTTATGACTTTATAACTGGTGAAACATTTTTGTTGACAATTTTTATTATTTGTTTATTGAGTTTTCTTGGTGGTGTTGCTGCTGCTGCTAACTCGAGTGCGAGTAGTAAATGGCGCTCGCGCCTTCTTTTTTGTCCCCCTTCAAAAAAGATTTGTTACACACGTTGATTTGAATGCTTTTTTGCAAAATCAAAGAAAAACCAACAGCAACAACTGATTTTGCTATCTTTGAATGGGTGGCTGACTGTCTTATATCTTATTTTTGCTCGCGCTCACTCACTCTCATTTGTGCATTGCCTATAAAAGTGTTTAATTTGTCCCATAGGAAATCAGTTAGTTCAGATGTGAGGATCCAAAAAGTTTCAAGTTTCTTATGTTCGCTTTTTTGCTTAGAAGAAAACGGAAAAGCAACGCAAGTTCGAAGCAACGCAAAAAATAGTCCAAACCAGAACGCGCCAATAGCTTGACAAGAAAATCACAAGTGACAGTTGTTATTGATGTTAAATTGAAAAACTAAATAATATTGTGATTTTTTATACAAATAGAAAAAAATTCTCAAAATAATAATAACAATCTATTTTTTAATATATTTTTCATATTGAAAAATAAGTACGAAACGTAGTTGAATAGTTGTTATTTGAATTTTGAAAAAAAAAATCGTTAAAAATGTGTGAATTTAAAAGCAAACCTGAAAGTGTGACCCGCGGTGGTAAGTTTGAAATTGTATTTTTTTATTTTTTATATAAGGAAACAATGTGTTTTGGTTCTATTAAATTAATTATGAAAGAATTTCAAAATCTGTGTAATTCAAAAATAGTAAAAAATTGGGGATTTGAAGTTCTAACAATTTTTTATCCAGAATTTTCTACTCAGTTTGTGTCTTTTGGGGTCTTTTATTTTATTCGAAATGTCTAGCAATTAAGTTAGAAATATTAAAGAATTGTTGTTGTAGGAAGTCAATTTTAAAATCACAGTTCGTTGACACAATTTCTCGGATGGAGTTTTTTGAAAATTTATTTTTATCTTAGAAAAAAGTGATTTATTTTATTAAAATTTATTATATTGAAAGTATGTGAAAGAATCCCAAAAACTTTACTGTTCAAAAAAATAGTAGAAGACAGAAAGTGGGGATTTCAAGTTTTAAAGAATTTTATATCCGAATTTTCTACTCAGTTTGAGTCTACATTTATTTGTGGCTTTAATAATTCCGCAGTCTTTTATTTTATTCGAAATACCTTTCAATTAAGTTAAAATACTTAATAATTATTGTTGTTGAGAGCCAATTTTAAAATCACATTATTTTGACAAAAATTATCAGATGGAGGAGAATATGTTTTTTTTTTGAAATATAATTTAATAAAAACTACTAATTTTTCCCAAAAATATATTGGTCTAATTGGAATTAAAAAAAAATGAAAAGATTTATTCTTGAAGGTTTTATTCTTTAATTGGCCACCCAATTGTGAAAGATCGAGAAAATGTGATTTTTTTTTAAATTAGGTGTTCCAGTTTAAATGTCTGAAGTATTTAATGGATCAAACAAAAAAACGAAAATGTCAACCTTTATTTTTTTGTCCTAATTGTGAATCAAACAGATTCGAAAATTTGTATGTTTAATTCTCGCATAAAATCAATTTTTAAATCCAAATCTAATAGCCTCAAAACATATTCACGTTCGATTTTCCAAAATCAGAATATATTCGAACATTTTCGACCGGTTAGACTCCAAACTGTGAATCAAAAATATTCGCAATATTTTACGTGTAATTCTCGCATAAAATCATTTGTTAAAAAAAAAATCTGATAGCCACAAAACACATTCTAAAAAAATCATGCCTATTCATTGACGCTCTTCAGAAAATATTATTTAAAAAATTAAAGTTAGCCTTTAAAAAATATATTATTAAATACCATCTTATAGCTGCGATAGACTACAAAAAAATGTTCGTTATAAAAATCCATTATTATAGATTTTATAGTCCACAAAACAGTATTTATTAAAACATTTTCGTTTAAGGGGACCCCCCCCATTCTCGGGGTCACTTAATTCGATTCTACACTAAATCAAGAATGTCCCTACAAAATTTCAAGTGAAAATCTCAAAAACTCTTGAAAATATAGCCGATTTATTGTGTCAGCATCAAGTGACGGCTAAAGGGATTCTCAAAATTTAAACGCGTTTTTCTCTTTTGCGAATGGCGGGCACGATAACTCAAAAACTAATAATCCAATCGATTCAAAATTTTTACACGTTTCTCTGTGAGTGTATAGCTATCGTATGAACTAGGATAAAGCCAATCGGTGAAGATCTTCCATATTTTTTAACTTGGTTTTTGGTCAAAAATCGGTGATTTTCCAAAAATATTTATTCAAAGGTCGCCATTTTGTTAATTTTAGAGCGAAGTCAATAATCCTAGTTCATACGAGAGCCAGACATGTACTCTTTCTAACACCGTTGGAATTTTAGAATTCCGATGTTCCAGTGGGGAGTTATCATGCCCGCCATCAAAAATAAGGACTTTTCTTTAATTACAAAAAACAACAACAAAACAATAACAAATTTTTTTTGTAAATTATTTTTCTTCTCTTTTAAATATTCAAATATATATGTGCAAAGTGACAAACCTCAACAATCATTGGTATTGATTTACCAGCCCATTGAAAATCTTAAAAAATTAAAATCGAGAATGGGTGGGGTTCCCTTAAAGCTTCCGTAGCTTGATTAAAATACCGAAATTATAAATTGTTTATCTAATTTTAAATTGAACAATAATAAATAAATAAACACAAATAAATAAAAAATAATAATTTTTAAAACTCCTAGCTTATTACTATAATTACCGTAGCTCTGATGGCCTTCAAAATATATATTTTTCAAAAAAAAAAAAAAAAAAAAACAACATTCTAGCTGTGATTGCCTACAAAAAATATTCATTACAAAATCTACATTGATTGCGCAAAAAAATAAAAATTTGGTTACATTTCGTTGATTTGACGCCCGGAATATTTATCTTCTAAACAGCCATTCTAAGTATTTGGTCAGATCCCCTTCACCGTGTAAAATATGTCATGCATTCAATAATGGGCTCTAGAGGAACTTGAAAATCTGACAAACATAAAGTTTTCGGTTCAAATATCATCTCAACATAACTGACCATTACCGGAACTTCATGTGAAATTTCAAAGCGATCAACGCGCCATTCCAACCCTGCATTGGGATAATAGTAATACTAAACAATATCGTTACACATAGACACCTTTAAATAATTAAGTATAACTCCCACATCCGCGTACATACAGCAATACAATTGATATCAATTTAAAGGTCTTGGATATACTACAAACTTATCGGGTCTATGTCCTCCAGGAGGAAATATATACGCCCTGGATAACAAATATTGCAATTTTTCACAAAAAAAAAAATAAATAAAAAATCTGGACCCATTTCACCCGCTTAATATTGACGTATTTTCTATAAAATTCCATTTTAAAAATTCATAATTATAACTTTGATAGGTTGGGTAAAATATTTCTTAAAACATCTAGGAATATAGCTCTCATAGGTTTGGATAAATCTCCAATCTTGACAGCCTCATGAAAAATATTCCTAACAAGTCCACTCTCTGATAATCTTGACAAAAATATTCCTTAAATGTTCACGCTTAAAGCTCTGATAGCCTTGAGAAAGATATTTTTTAAAATCCATGCTTATAGCTCTGATTGCCCTTTAAAAATGTTTATTAGATATATACCCTAATGCCTCTGATAGCCTTGATAAATATACACCTTAAAAGTCAACGCTTTTAGCTCCAAATTTATAGCTCTGATAGTTTGAGCAAAATATTTCATAAAAAGGCTTTTGGTTTTGATAGAATTCAAAAATAATATTTAAAACACTATTCGTATAGTCATTACATTTTACACCACTTCCTGATAATCCACCGTAACCCTTCTATACGAAATGATTACTAGTTCGATGGTGATTTCAAGTCATCAAAATCCTGAAATCACCACGATAGAAAAATATAATTTCCGAATGTCGGGAAATAAAAATAGTCCACAAAAAAAAAAAAAAAAAAAAAAAAAAAAAAATAACACCCAATTACGGCAAAACCAGTTTATTCCACACTGAACCGATGCCATGTAAAGGAGAAGTACACTGACCGCTAAAAGTTCATTCTATTTTAAGCGATCGTTTTGACAATGAAAATCATATTTCGATTACAACATAAATAAATTAATTTTCAATAATATTGTGGATGAACTGAAATCAAAGATAAGAAAATAAAATAAAAAAATATTTTTACTCATAACAAAATTGTCTATATGAGGTCAAAGCCCATGTTGAAGTGGGTCTGTTAAATGTTTTGTAATAAAAACCAAGAGGTATGTTTTTTTCAAAATCTAAGCTTTATACCATTTCTACTCTCAATGTCAATGCAAAGCTATCACAAAGAGTGTCAATAAACATGGATTTTGTTGCCATCGATGAAATGCCAATCTTAAATGATGCATTCGATGGCGCGAAGTAATCAGACGCCTTAAATCATTACAAGAGTGAGAAAGCGAGTGAGCGATCAATCAGAGTCTATTATATAGCTATTTATAAAGTAGTAAAATCTTTTTATAAAACAAACAGCGGTGGACATTACAAGAAATGTGGTGTTAAGTGGAACTTAAAAAACAAATCTAATAAAAAAATAAAAATTCGAACATTTTTTATTATAAAAAAATAATAAAAATATGGATTCCTATGAATATAGTAAGTCACCTCTAATCCTTAGCCTCTGAACATAACAAAACAATTAATATTAATCTGCAACTGCCAGCAATTGTTTTGTTTATATTGGTCATTGACATATTTATTTGAAAATATTTAAATTAAAAAATATGTTTGCACCCTTCATATGTGTAAGAGTGTGTGTGTGTTTATAAGTCCAGACATCTTTCACATATCACAAATAATCCTAGGCAAAGCTACAAATTCAAGTTCAATGTGAAACCAAAAAAACAAAATGAATTTGTATTTAATTGGTGTCATATACACTTATACAATGATCTTAAGAAGATTTCCAGAAATGTCTTTGGACTTGCCATAATAAATTAAAAAAACAAAGCATACAAACAACAATAACATTCAATATTAAATAAAGATGCTTCAGACAATTGTTCGGTATCAATTAAAATGTGTGGAACAAAATAATAAGTGCTGATGATTGAGGGTATTTGTTGCCGGTCTTGTTATTGTCATGGAAAGTTCTGTAGATTTCATAGTGATACGTCGATGTGTGTTGAAAGTGTTAAATGAACGAGTGCATGGTGGCCGCCTATAATCTGATCCAAATCAATTAATTAAACGAAAGTTCTTAAACAAATTTGACATTTGACAGGGGAAAATATTCGAGAAATAAACAGAGATCTTACGAGAAGAACAAATTCAAATGTATTAACTAAAAATCAGTGTTCGCAAAAAAACGGTACACTATCGTAGTGTACCGTACCAGGAACACAAACACTAAAAAAATTTTAGCGTTAGTGTTCCGGTACACAAACATTAAAAAATATTTTAGTGTTACTGTTCCGGAGCACAACGAAATTCGTAGTGTACCGCTGTCGGAGCACTAAAAATCGTAGTGTACCGCGGTCGGAGCACTAAAAATCGTAGTGTACCGCGGTCGGAACACTAAAAAATCGTAGTGTACCGTGGTC